GTGTTAAAAAAACTTCATCTCCTGGAAAGTTAAAAATGTTTTAAAAACATGATTAGTTGAAATGGAACGTGCTTTCTGATCGATCCTTCTTCTAGCCAGACTTGCAGGTAGAATTCATGTCATGATAGTGGGGGCGGGGGGGAAGCATTTAGGAACTAGAGGAAAGTTGTATGTTTCATCGTTGTAGCCTCTTTTCCCTTCCAATACCTGCTTATCAGGTTCTCATTAAATCGAGATAACATGAAATGCTCAATACAATTTCTGGTATTTGTTAAACTAATGTATTTTTCCTGTAACTTTGTAACTACTTTGTAACTACTCCCAGAATAGGTTTCATATGTTTGCTGAATCTCCTGAACCCCATGGTGCAATTACTTGTGTTATTTAGCTGCCATTTAGTGGGTGCTTCTAGTGACCCTCTAAGTCCTTAAAAAAAAGAAGAACTCAAGGTTAGTTTTGATGTCCACATTTAAGAGATGGAGAAAAATTAAATGTGAGAACAATAGAAGTAGTAAGAGGTGAGGGAACTGAGCTCTAGAAAGGGAAAGTGACCTGTCCGCGGCCACACAGCTCACGAGTGCTGCAGCAGAGATTAGATGGCAGCGCCTGCTGGCCCCTAGCCTCTTGCTCTTCTCCTTCACACCATCATGGCACCGCTTGCCTAGTAATCCCGCCCCGAGTAGAAAGGCAGGAGCTCAATATGTGGCCTAGGTCCCCTCACTAAATTAGGGTGCCGGTCTCAGTAATGGTTAGGGACTTGGATAAAACCAAGTTGGTGATCTGTTGTGTTTACTTTCTGTGTAAAGTTAATGCTTCGTTGCCCTCTGAAATCTTCCTTAGAAAGCAGATGTAGGGAAAGTCTTGTTGATCTTGTTGGTTGCTACTGCTTTCCTGCCAGGAGTTCACCAAGAAGGAAGAAGAAAAGACGCCGGTGTCGCTACAGAACTACCAGGCTTTTTTCCGAGAGCTGGACATTGAGGTTTTCTCCATCCTGCATTGTGGGCTGGTGACCAAGTTCATCTTAGATACCGAAATGCACACTGAAGTAAGTGCCAGAGCCGGGCTCCTAGAACCCGAAGTTCCGCAGTCCGTTCTTAGTCCACAAAGAATACTGTGACAAGGGGAGGAGTTGGGACCTCTCCCCCAAGTCCTATGTAAATGAAAGGACTGATAAATAACCATCTGAATTGTTTCAATTAGCTAAGCCCTAAGGTTTCCATGGTGTGTCAGACATTCACAATGCTAGCATCGGCCTGCAGGTAGCTGAGTGGGAGCTGTTAGGTGACTTGTGTTGTCTGGTTTATGGAGCTCGATGCTGGTTTCACATGCTTAGGTAGCACCCATCAGGTCCTTATTGAGACCATTTTTGCATTTGGCACTAATCTCAACACTGCTGGCTCCGTAGCACACACTGCACGACGCTCGCCAGCTAAGAAAGGAAGGACACACATGCAGTGCTGCACGCTGTGCGGATGGTCTGAGCCACGTGCCCGCGAAGCTCCATTAAGAGCCTGGTATTTGTAAGGAAGGAGGGGCATTGAGGACCCTGGTGGTCCTGTGGTTAAGCCCACAGTTCAGACCCCTCCAGCTGCTCTTCGGACGAGGCAGGATGCTGCCGTAAAGAGGACAACCGTGGAGAGCCTGTGGGGAGCTTCTGCTCTGCCCACAGGGCCCCCCCAGTCAGACCTACTTCATTGCAGTGGGTTTGGGGTTTGGCTGTTTGTTTTGTTTAGGGGGAAGTAAAGGACATTTTCACAGAAAAGTGATTCTTTGATAAGGGAGATTCCACCAGAGAGTAGAATTTTTCCAGGTAAAATAATTGAGAACCACTGTTACCGTCCAGCGGTATGCTGTGAATTTTTACCTGTTAAAGACCCTAAATTCCTTCATAATAAAAGAACATTCTCGCCTGCTCCTTCTCCACCGTCTCCTTCTTTTTTAAGTTTCTCTATATCAGCTGTACCTAGGAATTCTCCGTAAAAGTTCTCCATAGATGTGAGTTGACATGACAGGTTGAAATAAGGACCTTTCGGACTTGTTCTGATTCTGTTCGTGTGGTCTACATGTAGGGATCCTGACCAGAGTTCGTAAGGGCAAAACATTACAGGAAGGAAAATATCAAGGGGTTTTTAATGAACAGAGAAAAGGGAAATTTCCTTGAATTGATCATTTTAAATCCTAGGGTATTTAGGAAGTACATTTTGCGTCCAGAGCCAGAAAAATATGCGGTGGAATTTATTTTTAGAGAAAAAGTTTGCCTTCTAAAACAATACTGCCTCAGATTCCTGTTTACTCATTTGAGTTTTTTATTTGGTGGCTATGTGACTTTGGGAGTCAATGGAGAGAGCCTAGCAGCAGTATAGTAAATGAGGTTGGGGGCATTTTCCCTTCTTGGATTAAGGGCCAGATTTTCACCCATGGGGCAGAGAAGTCATGAACGATGCCAGTTAGAATCCCTCTTTCTGTTTGACAGGCCACAGAAGTTGTACAGCTCGGGCCCCCTGAGCTGCTTTTCCTGCTGGATGATCTCTCCCAGAAGCTGGGAGAGGTGTTGACTCCTGCTGCCAAGAGAACCCCCTTCTTCAAGGTTCGTATGGGCAGATGCAGGGCTGGGCGGAATGGGTCTGAGTGGTGAATTCAGTTGGGTCACTGGGTAGCACAGTGGAAGCCCCACAGGCAGACCATCTTCCCCTACCTTTTGAAAGGAACCCTGAAAGAGAGCAACACAAAAGGCACCCGGCACAGGAAATGAATCCTGTTCCTGATCATGTTCTCTTCTCAACCTGTGCCCAAGCCCAGTGTAGTAGGTGGCCAGGATCTCAAATGCACCTATAAGGTACGAGTGCGTGTGTAGCACCTAATCATCCAGTTACGTGATGCAAATGAAAGGTGCAAACCAAAGTGTAACCCTTTAAGGTAAGTACAGCCAGTTGCTTGATTCACGCTGCTCATTCGCCAGGTTCCTCTTGCGGTGTGTGCTTTATTGCACTCACCAGTACCGGTCTGCACTTGAGTATTCATGAAAAGACTAGGCTGTCAGCCCTTTGGGACCTTCAGTGAAGTAGTTATTTCAAAGACGGAGTGGCACGGCATCCCACAGAAGGCTATGGTATGTGATCTTGTGGGGAAGCAGGTAGATTGTATTTGGCTCGGCAAAGGAGATAGAGTGAAACCACTTCCCGCCAGTGGGTGTGCAGGGGAAGGAAGGAACTTGTCTGAGAAGTTGTCAAACTGCAAACTTTCTTAACGTTAATATCTCAGCTCCTGATAAAAGTGGACTAAAGCAATATTTTTTTTAAGATCATTTTATTGGGGGCTCTTACAACTCTTGTTACAGTCCATACATCAATTGTTTCTGACATATTTGTACATTTGTTGCCGTCGTTCTTTTCTAGACATTCACTTTCTATTGAGCCCTTGGGTTCGGCTCCTCTTTTTTTCCCTCCGCCCCACCCTCATAGCCCCTTAATAGATTATAGATTGTTATGATTTTCATATCTCACACTGACTGCTGTTTCCCTCCCTTCTGGTTTCTGTTGTTCTTCCCCCTGGAGGGTGTGTGTGGTTATGTGCCCTTCACTGCGATCGGTATTCCCTTCCTCTCTTCTCTCCCTCTTCCCACCCTTTTTGGTTTCACTAGTCCCATTCCTGTACCTGGCTTCCGTGTGTCGTGAGCTTATCTCTTGCTTGTACCTCTGTATGTGTTCTGGTCCAATCCGAAGTGGGAAGCAGCACTGGGGTCATGACAGTGGGGAGTGAGGAACCCTCAAGGAACCAGAGGAATATCGCATGATCCATCGGTGCTCTACTACACCCTGATTGACCCATCCCTTCCCTGCAACCCCTCTGTGGGGGGATGTTCCATTGTGTACAGATGGGCTTTGGGTCTCCACTCGGACCCCCTCATTCTCACCAACGCATTTTTGTTTGTTTTTTTTCGTATTTTTTATGAATCTTCTGATGCCCGTTACCCGGTCCCGATGACACCTCATGATCTCACCGGCTGGTGTGCTTCTTCCATGTGGGCTGGTTGCTTCACTGTTGGATGGCCGCTTGTTATGACTTCAGTCCTTTAAGACCCCAGACGCTGTATCTTTTAATAGCCGGGCCCATCCTCTGGCTTCACCGCATCTGCTGAGCAATGTCTCTAAAGCCACACTGCGCAAACATTTTGATGTAGGGAGTCTTATGATTGGTCACAGATCGGGGCAATTTTAACTGAAGTCTTTGTAAAGGAAAAGCCAACTGTTTGCTTAAGAAGCACAGGTTGAGTCAACCCTGCATTTGAAGCCTTGAAATGCAAACATGCTGGTCTGCTAGGAAGGAGGGGAGTGAAATGAATTGTCTGAGAGCTGTTAAGATAGCAAGTGTATTTTCACAAGTAAAAGGCCAAGTCTCTACATTCTTGGTGTATTAGTCAAGACTTTCAATAGGCAAGGTCTCCCTTTCTATCTCATTATGAATTGGCAAAGAAAACTAGCAGGAATATTATGAAAAACTCACAAGTGAAGTTTTACTTTGGGAATGAAAATGAAGAATAAAGGTTTGATGCAAACACACACGCGCACACACACAACTTTGGTAGAAAGATTGCATGGTTTCCTTTAGAAAGGCAGAAACACAAAAATCTCTGCTTGGTTGGAAATGGAGTTTCAATTTAGGTCTGAAGTCACACTGGTCAGGTATGCCGACGCTTCATCTTGTTCTTAGATTCTCCTCCACGCCTCTCAGCCCAATAGTTCCTGTTCTTCACGAGTCAGTCTTCCTGTTCTTTGAAGATGGAGCAGGATTTCTTATCCCCCTCTCAGAATTGGTGGTCTTTAGGCAAGCAGCTCGTTTCTCTCACCTATGACTTCCGAATAGCATAGGTTTGACTAAATCCCAACATGTACTTTTAGCTTCAGAGAAGCTACCCAGCAGTTTCTTCCCCTGTAACTCTGAATTTATTGTAGAGCAAAGGAAACTGGAATATTGGATTCTCGCATCTCCATCAGAGATCTGCCCAGGACATCGCTCACTATATCGTTCGCTTGATGCCTCCCATGTGTAGCCATCTGGAGAACGTTCACAACTATTTCCAGGTTAGACGCCTCTTCTGCTGTCCGTACAGAGGCTTGGAAATCACCAGGGGGTACTAGGGACTTCATTTGTAACCAAGCAGAATGGAAGTCAAAGAGCAGGCACTTGCTGAAGCGGCCATCCTAAAAGCACTTTTCCCTTTCAGTGCTTGGTTGGTGAGAATGAGGGCGTGGCTGATGGACCAGGAACCAAAGGCCAGGAGCACCAGATCATGTCTGCCTGCTATCAAAGGCTCCTGCAAATTATCTATGGGCTGTTTGCATGGTGAGTATGTAGAAAGGAGAGTCGGCCTAGGTGAACCAGTGTGCACTGCCTTTTCCTTTATGGTCGGCTTCTGTCTGTGCTGTCTCGTTTGGTCTTTCCCCTTCTGAGACGGATGGAGCAGCTATTCAGAACCCGTCTGACAGGTGTGTGGGTGGCTTGCACTTAGCTGACCTGTCACAAGTCTGGCCATTGATTCTGAGCCCAGTTTGCCGGGCAGGCTCTCCATAGCAACACTGGCGACCTGTGACTTCACAAGTGGTTCCTAGATTAATTGAAAGTAAATTCCACATGATGTGCTAAAGCTAACAACGGTGCGAGTTGGGGTCTTCAGGGACACCTTCCTGGTCACATAGTGGATTGATTACCTGTTAGGCTGCTAACAAGGTCAGCAGTTCAAACCCACCAGCCGCTCTGCAGGGGAAGACGAGGCTTTCTGATCCAGGAAAAATGTACAGCCTCAAAGCCATAGGGCAGTTCTGCTGTGTCCCACAGAGTGGCTCTGAGTCGTGATGGCAGTGTGTTCGGAGCGAGTTTTTCGTGGAAGCGGTAGGACTTTATCAGGCCCTTTAAGGCTATATGGCCTTTGAAGGAAGGGATGGGAAGGCCCAGCCGGGGGTGGGGGTGGGGGTGGGGGGGGGGGGGGGGGGGGGGGGGGGGGGGGGGGGGGTGGCAGTGAGGAGGGGGAGTGTCCTACATGGTCAGGTTCCTGCAGCTAGGTCCCATCCCTCTGGCTATATATGCAGGTTTTCTGCACAGTCATACTCAAGCTACGCTCTTTTCTGATGAGCAAGCCTTAAAACCAGGTACCTACTTGCTCAGCACCCTTCTTGGGTGTGTCCTTGACGTCTCAGATTGATCACACCCAAAAGCTTTCCCTAGCTCAGTAACTGGCAGAAATCTCGGCAGTGGTTCTTGTTTTCCCCCTCCCCACCCCCACCCCCAGTCACCGGAGCCTATTGATTTTAGCTTCTAGCTAACGTCTCCATAACCATCTGTTCTCCCTTAACCCGTGAGGTTAGTTTTGAATTTGGTCTCCCTTGCCCCTCTGCTGTCCCCCTGTCATTCCACTCTTGACACAAAGGTTAGCGTGATCTTCCCAATACACACTCAGTCTTACTCTTTCCTGACTTGTTTTTAACCGTCCTTTTGTTCTTCTTCAATTCAAACTCCTTTACATAACTTCTCAAGCCTTTTATGATCTCTGCCCTTTGTCCTTCCAATCTTTGTCTCTTGCACGCTGTCTGCCAGCCATTGAGACTTAATTTCCGGGCCCTATAAAGAAGGCTCTATCACTGGGAACCCTGATAGCCTAGTGGATTGTTCCTTGGCCTTCTAGCCACCAGGTCAGCAGCATGAAACCAGTAGCTGCTCCAAGGGGGGCTTTCTGCTCCATAAAGATGTACAGCCTGGGAAACCCAAAGGGGCGGGGCCACTCTGTCCTGTAAGGTTGCTATCAGTCAGAATTGACTCGATGGCACTGAGGTTTTTGCTTATATAGCTCTGCCCGGAAGGCTTCAAATATACCCATCTTTCCACTTGGAAGATTCCACTTGGTCAACACCCCTCTTGTGTGTTGAGATCAGACTTAACCGTCACTTCCTCAAGGGCATCTTCTCTGATCTGTAAACCAGGTAAGCGCCTTCTTGTCTTCCTGATGCCCAGTTCTCTCATAACACGCTGATATCTTCTTGTGATAAAATTTAGCACGTGGTGCTATAATGCTTGTTCATCAGCCTCTGCTGATCTGTTGTGAGCTCCGTTCCAATGCCTGACAACAATGGTCTGAGTAGCCTCTCCATGAAAGGAGGTGATAGGGATGGCAGATGAACCCATGGAAAGACGTTTAACGTTGTTAGCTACATGGGAGCCATCGTGAAGACGGCGCGGGACCGGAGGCTCTCACTCTGTTGTGCACGGGGTCTCTGGGGTGGAACTGACTTGATGGCACCTGAGCACAAAAGGGACAGTAAAGCCACAGTCAGATTGCACAGCACCCCAGGTAGAAGAGCTGATGACAGGGTTCCCAGGCTACGTGCTGACAAGGTATTTACACCTCGAGCAATTTGATAAAATCGTCTCTGTACCTAAATATTATTACGAGGGCCTTTTGTTTGTCTGGGGGAAAGGGCTGAGGCTTATCTCTGAAAAGGAGGCGTGTGGGGGCAAATCAAGAGGGAAGCGCCACAGAGCAGTGGTGGGATGAAGACGACGAGTCAGTCCCCAAAGAATCCCGATGGTAGGTTCTGACTCGGGCAGCACTTGGAACCCCATCTGAACCAGCTTGGGATTACTCACAAGGGGGCCGCACTAAATGTCTGAAGGCCTGACTGGGCAGGAAGGGGGTGGGTTGGGGAGGACAGCACGAGTCTGTTCCATCCCTGGCTGCAGGAATAGTGATGGGGACGTTTAGGATGCTCGTCTGTCGCACACGAATATGGAAGACTGCAAGGGTATATGAGTTGTTGGGTAAGCGGGCCCGGGAGCTGCAGCTCTGGGAGAAAGTGGGGGGCACTGCACTGATGGTTTGTAACAGGTCCTTCATTTAACAGAGACATGTCCATCTGCTCTTCCCCTGGTGGTCTTGTGACTATCTGTACGCTGATGTATTTGTTTTCCTTTTTGGTGTTTACCTATACAAGATGGGCAGGATAGGCAATCTTATGGACACCGCCTGGTCTTACAGGTTCCTGGGGGCCATGGGAGGTGATGGGTACAGGGGAACAGGAAGCATTCTAAAATTGATGGTGTGGAGGGTGTAGCTTTTCTGGTCAGGTTTAACCAATCAAATTGTATCTGAGAGGTATACATAATGGTGGGGTAGGAGGAAAGAGCAAAGGGAAAAAATATATATGTATATAAACACGTGTATTTGCTTATGAATGTATATTTATGCAAATGTAACAAGGAAGCAAATGAATCTTGGTCCTCTACTTAAATCTTACCTCAGTTTAAGAACAGTTTGTTATAATAATGTGGCATTGTATGATACCTTCCTGATATAATTGCTGAAGACCAAATGGGTGCATAAGCAAATGTGGTGATGAAAGCTGATGGTGCCCACTATTAAAAGATATAGCATCTGGTATCTTAAACGCTTGTAGTTAAAAAGCAGCCGTCTAGCAGGGAAGCAACAAAGCTCACATGGAAGAAGCACACTAGTCTGTGTGATCAAGAGGTGTCCATAGGAAGAGGTATCAGAAGTTCAAAAACAAGCAACCAAATCGATGTGAAGGGGTGTGGATGTAGTGGAGACCCAAACTCACCTGTAAGATAATGGGGCAGTCCCTCCCAGAAGGACCACATGGAAGGGATGATCAATCCAGGGTGCGGTATGGCGCGGATGAACCACATAACTATCCTTTAGTTCTCTAATATTTCCTCCCCTTACTATTATGTTTTTTATTTGTTTTAGCTCATTAATCATGTTAGATTTGCACATGTTCATGTGTATATTTAAGATCGCTCATTACATGAAAGCCAAGATTGAAAACCCTTCAGAAACAGTAACAGGAGTAATGGTTCCCTGGGGGCACAGGAAGGGGGGTGGGGCAGGGAGGAAGAGGAAGCTGATAGCATTGATGACTGTGTAACCACACTCAATGGGATTGAACCGCAGAATTGTATGCAAATGGATATATTGGATCGTGTAAGATATGGCAAAAAAAGAACAAAACCATTACAGGGAATAATAATCAGGGTTCCTAGGTGGTAGGGAGCGAGGATTAAGGGGAGCTGACATCAAGGAGTTCAGGAAGAAAGAAAATATATTGGAAACACTGTGGCAGCAATTGTACAATACTGCTTGATGTGCTTAAACTATGGAATGTTATGATATCCAGAGGAGCTTCCCATAAAATGATTGGAAATTAAATAAATAAAAAGTAGGGCATGAAGGAGAAGTCTGTGGGGACTGTGGGGTGCTCATGGAAGGACTAGGGTGCACACTTCAACTTCTAGCCTGATACTCAGAGCTGTGGCTGAACTTGGCACTGGAGTGCTTTCTGTTTGCTTCCCCCTGCCCTCGGTTGACTTACTGAGGGCACACACCCTGATGGAGGTCTAGATCTTCAGGTGCCGTCCGAGCAAACTTCCTGAAACTAAGCTAAACCCCCTTACCTTGACTCTCGCTTAGGAGTGGGTTTTTCCAACCTGAAAATCACAACTTACTACACTCTGCTCTCGAGGTGCTTGCTAGCCGACTGAAGCAGGGAGACCATGACCAGCCGCTGGAGGACCTGCTCAGGTGGGTCCGATGGCATTTCCCTGGGTGTTGCCCCGGGAACCTCACAGCAGCACGGTTGGCAGGATTTCTTGAAAATGACGAGTCTCTGAGGACCTAATGTCGGGGCTTTAAATGGAGAGAAAATGTTTTGAGAAATGATGTACAAATACGCTTTACACAATTGATGTGTGTATGGATTGGGATAACAGTTGTATGAGCCCCTAATAAAATGTTTAAAAAAAAAAAAAAAAAGAAAATGACGAGTCTCTCAGTAGTTATGAGGAAAGTCCGTGGTGTGTTCAGCTGCTACGTTAGCTCAGTATGTGAGCTTTCCCACCTGCGTGTCCAGATCGATCCTACTAACTCTTAAGCGTCCTGCAGCCATCAAGTCTGCCCTTTCAGGTGGTGGGGGTGACAACATGGGCCACCTGTAGTCGACTTGCTCCTGGTTGTCCAGGAGACTGCTCTTCTCTTACCTGCACAGCAGGGTCCCTCGGCAGCAGCTGGCTGTCACTGACTGCCGCCCTCTTTCCCGCTATCTTGGAAAGAGAGCTTGGCTTGAGGGCTGGACAGCGGAGGAGGGAGGAGAGGAGACGTCGGGAGTCCGGCTGCCAGCCTCCCGCCCCAGCTTTAGCCTGACTCATTAGGTCTTCTGTGCCCCTGTGGCACAGTTGAAATACAGTATGTCTTATTTGTCGGACTCCTCCCCACCAATCAAGTAGGAGTTGGCTCGTTTTGATATCAATTATAACCATTTTTGCTTGTGACTCCCCATGTCCCTTTGCTTCAAAGTGCATTGAGAGCTGATCGAATTTGGCACATTTCTTACAAGTTCTTAGAGATTTTCTGCCTTAGGATTCCCTGTTACTCTGTGAATCCACAGCTGCCCATTTTTTCAGGGATTGCCTAAGGCCGTGAAGAACAAATTGTTTAGCCGTGGCTGTGCCTGTAAGTAAGGCCTAGACGCGGACTGGTCTCGGCCTGCCTGACCCCTTTGAGGCCAGCATTCCCTCCACTGGGCACTGCTCTGCCTGCCCGTGTCCATGCAGACAGCTCTCCAGCAAGTTGCTCTCGAGAAGTTGCCCGTTGAGGCTTCCCGACGTGGGGAGGGCCTTGATTAGCCCATCAGACTACAAAAAGGAATCTGGTCAACCCATGGAAGTTTTGGCATATTGTTCATCCGTGCGGTGCTGCCTGTCTCTTCTTGTCTCCCCACAGCCAGAGCTTCCACTACTTGTTCAATTTCCGTCACAGCGTTCCCAGTCTCCAGTGTGCCCTGCACCTCATCAGACTGTTGATGGTCATTGCGATGAAGTCGACGGTTCTTGCTCAGAACAAAGAAAAAATCGGTGATGAGCCAGATCTTCCTTCCCGTCAGGAATTAGACTAGCAGTCGGGGTGTGTAGATGTGTGCTCTGAGGTGCGCATCTCCACAGAACCGTGGACAGGCCCTCTTGCTGTGTGCGGAGGGCGTTTCCCCAGAAGGTCTATAAATGATCATTTCTGCTGATATTGTTTGGTCTGAGTTTTGCTTAAATGCATTGCCATCCTTTTTTTTTTTTTTTATCAGACATCTGAAAACCAACCCCCCCCCCAAAAAAAAAAAAACCCCAACAACAACAGATAACCAGGAGGCTAATAAAGCGGGAGGAGGAGCAGGAATGAGGATCTGGTGTGAAGGGAGACCTAGGCCCTTCCCTGACTGTCTTGAACCATTTTCTGTTAGAACTAACTTTGGGGATGCAGCTCACTGATCCTGTACCCCAGGTCGCAGCACAAACAGAAAACAAGAAGGAAACGCAACCCCAACCTCGCTTCGTCTCCCTTTAATGAAATGGCCAGGGTTTGATCTGGCTGTGCGAGGTGACCGCTGCTTGCAGGTCGGCCTGGAGGAACAAGAGTGGCCAGCAGCGTACCTTCTCTGTGTGTCTGTCTCAGGCCCAGGCGGCGGGGCTGGTGTGGGGGCAGGCTGGAGCTTAGACAGGTGGACTTCTTGCTGACAAAAGGGTCAGTGGAGCACATGGGGGCGTTAGTTTGTTTGTTGGACCAGAAACTTCATAGCAAGTTTTTTGAAATGATACTTTTGATCAGTAAACATCCCCTAAGGCATGGAAGACAACAGTGACATGGTTATCTCTTTCCTTGGTCTCGCTTCTCCAACAGCTTCCCTGGCCAAGCAGTTCCTCTGCCGGGAGTGGCCCAACGGGGCGAGAGGGAAGGGCGCCACCTTCAGTGACCAGCTGCATGCTCTGCTCTGGTGAGCTGCCTGACTTCTTCCTTCACGCCTTGTCCCTGCTGGGATCCCTCCCCTGGCCAGACTGAGAAGGGAGCTTGACTGGGGGAACTGGACAGGAACTGTGGGCCTGACGGTCCTCTAGTTTCGTGTGACACTGTGGCCTCTTCTTTATTCTTGAGTCAAATCTTGGGGAAAGTGGAGACGTCAGCAGTCAGCAAACCAAGATCCATTGCTGGCCATACTCCGTCTGTCCCTCCTTTGTGTCTAGCAGTATTTCCTGCTCTCAGTTGTGTTTTGCTTTACCTCCTGGCGATATTTGGAATCCTTGTTATTAAAAAAAAAATGCCAAGGGTTGCTTTAAAGCTTAATGCATGGGGCGGGGGGAAGTGGGGGCGAAGAAACATAATGAAAATAAAGCTTAATGCCCAGGGACATCTCAAGAAAGGAAGCTTTGACTTGGGGGTTTCTGCCAAAGAGTGCACATGCTCCACTCTCACCTGCAGCATCTACCTGGAGCACACGGACAGCGTGCTGAAGGCCGTAGAGGAGATCGCTGGGGTCGGGGTTCCAGAACTGATAAATGCACCTAAAAATGCAGCTTCCTCCACGTTCCCGACACTGACCAGGTAGGAGAGCTCGCTCCCGCGAGGGAATCACACCGCCCCGTGGCCAGGTCTCCCCGTCACACCTCCCTCCTCTGCTTCTGTTACTGCCTGTGTGACACCACGAGGTCTCCCTACTCAGCAGCCCCAGTGCCTGCTGTGCATTCTTCCCAGGGGACCTTCGCCAACCCACAGAGGGGGCCGGATGAAGAGCAGACTTTCAGAGACAGTGCACACCTGGCCCCTAGCATTTTAGTCCCTTGTAGGACAGGTGGTTGCTGCATCGGCTCATGTGTGTCTCACTTCCTGGTCGGTGCCTGTCTCGCGAGCCCAATGGCTGCCTTAGACAGTCTTTCAGCAGCTCGCGTTCCTGGGATAACCTTGACAGTTTATGAAGCACTCGCACGACCCTCTTTTTCCACAATGTTGGGGATTTGGTATCATCACCCCTGTTTTCCTAATGAGGAAAACGAGGATCAGAGAGGCAGCTCGCTCAGGCTTCCACAGGCAATCAGATGATCCTGGAGCAAGGACTTGCCCTCACCCCTGCTCCCCTGGTCTTTCCACACCACCCTGCTGACTGTTCTGGGTCCCAGACAACCTTCCTGGACTAATTGATGGGTCCTTTCTCCTCTCCCGTCTTTGGACAAGGACATCAGAGAGGCGGGAAGGGAATTGCTTTTGGTGCCCTGACTTCTTCCCAGCAGGTTCGTTCTAACCAGCCCACCATTGTGTGGTGTGCATGCTTTCCCCCTCTGCTAGGCAGACGTTTGTCATCTTCTTCCGGGTGCTGCTGGAGGAACTAGAGAAGACAGTGAAAGGTCTTCAGGCCGGCACGGCAGCAGACCCGCCACAGGTGGGTCCAAGCTCCCGCCTTAAGCACGTGAAGCCCGTGGAAGCTGCTGGCTCCTCGGGTCCTTGGTTCCAGGTTTCTTCTAAGCGATTTCCTTTGAGTAACTGAGATCCAGACCTTTTTTCTTCTCTCCGTGTCTCTGGTTTAATTTCCCTTAGAAATTAACAGTGAGGATGAGGCTCCGTTTTCTCTGGTGCCTGCCCAGGAAAGGCTCGGGCTGCACCATAGCCCGTTACAGAGAGAGAGAGAGAGTGTGTGTGTGTGTGCGTGCGCGCGCAACCTCACAGGCCTGGCGGGAGGTCAGCAGGGCTGTTTGAGATGCGGTGGTGTCAGGCCTTGGCAGTTCACTAATCACGTTGGGCATGACGGCAGAAAACAAAGCCGAATGCAGGGACTAGGGAGGCCCCAGAGCTCTGATGCCCCAGGGCCAAGGCTTTTACCTACTTGGAAAGTCTGGATGGAGAAACCTCTGTGTAGAAGGCCTTTCTCTGTAGTATACCCTGATCTTCTCACAAATGGTCCATGTGGTTACCACCTGCCTGTGGGAGGATAATTAACTTAGGCCTTAGATAGCTCTATGATGGAACCGTTGGTTCATGCAAAGGCCAGTGGGGGAGACATACCTGTTGGCCGTGTTTCTGAGGTACCTCTGTGTTTGGCTGCCCCCAGGTTCACGAGGAGAAGCTCCTCTACTGGAACCTGGCTGTCCGAGACTTTAGTATCCTGCTCAACCTGATCAAGGTGAGTGTGCAGGCTCCTTGCCCTCTCTCCTGGCTCTCTGCAGAAACCCCCACGGTAGGGTCTTCTGGCTCAGAAACGGGATCTTCCTCCTCCTCTGCCCGTCTTCCCTGGCCCTGCCTTTTCTCCTTGCTCCCCTTCTCACCTGGATAACCCGTCTTGTTGCCTAGGCAAGGCCTGTTTTTCTTTCTTCCTCCCCGCTCCCTGTGCAGCATATGTGCGGCTTCATGACCACCTGCACCATGCTTCACCTGGCCTGGGTCCTCCGTGACCTGGGCTCATCCCTGCAGGCCCGCCCAGTCCCGCATGGCTGCTGGTCCTCCAACACCCTGCATCCTCGCCCTCTGCAGGGCTTGGCTCCAGTGTCACACTCCTTCCCTCCCGCTTCTCTTACTGCTCATTCTTCTCCGGCTCCCCATCCTGGTTTTGGACCTCTAGAATGCCATCTTTTCAACATCCCCAATTGGAATCGACTTCCGGTTCCTCCTTGTTCTTACTCTCTTTGCTTCAACATCGGTCAAGGGCATTCCTTCTCTAGTGGAATGAACACTTCTTTTCTCCACTCAATGTTTCTTTGAGAGCAGGATGGCCCCTCTTCCCTGTAGAATTCTCTGCCACACCCGAGCTGTGCTTTCACAGTGGGAGAGGATCAAGGGTGCTCTGAAGGGCAGACCTCAGCCCTTGTGCCTTGCTTTCATGTCACCAGGTGTTTGACAGCCGTCCGGTTCTGCACGCCTGCTTGAAGGTAAGAGGCTGGCTGGGCCCTCAGTGGTATTCAGCCTTCCTGCCGATGACCGGAGGGGGGATGAAATGCTCAGTACCTTGCCCACAAACCTGTCTTCAGAGTCCATGCTAGCAAGTGGCCACTTGGGCGGGCAGTGGACATGCTGTCCCACGCAAATGTCCCCATGGGTTTGGGAACCCTGGATCAGATTCTTAGAACTCGGAGGAGTGGCAGTTTGGGGAGGGGAGCAGCAGCAGTCAACCCTTCCCAAGCAGCAGGAAGGGAGGAGATGATTTTCCAGCTGGACAATTTTTTGTCTTTTTTAAAATCATTTTACTGGGGGCTCCTACAACGCTTATCACAATCCATTCATCCATTCATAGTGTCAACCACATTTGTACATGTGTTGCCATCATCATTCTCAAACATTTTCTCCTTGAGCCCTTGGTATCAGCTCCTCATTTTTTCTCCTCCCTTCCCATCTCCCCCCTCCCAACGAACCCTTGGTAATTTATAAATTATTACTATGTTGTCATGTCTTACACTGTCTGACGTCTCCCTTCACCCATTTTTCTGTTGTCCATCCCCCAGGGAGGGGGTTATATGTAGATCCTTGTAATCGGTTCCCCCTTTCGACCCCACCTTCCCTTAACCTCCTGGTATCGCTACTCTCATTACTGGTCCTGAGGGGTTTATCTGTCCTGGATTCCCTGTGTTTCCAGCTCTTATCTGTACCAGTGTACGTGCTCTGGTCTAGCTGGATTTGTAAGGTAGAATTGGGATCATGATAGTGAGGGGGAGGAAGCATTAAAGAACTAAAGGAAAGTTGTATGTTAAATCAGTGCTACACTACACCCTGACTGGCTCGTCTCCTCCCCGTGACCCTTCTGTAAGGGAACGTCCACTTGCCTACAGATGGGCTTTGGGTCTCCACTTTGTACTCCCCCTCATTCACAATGATATGGTTTTTTGTTCTTTGATGCCTGATACCTGATCCTTTCTACACCTCATGATCACAAAGGCTGGTGTGCTTTGTTGCTTCTGAGCTAGATGGCTGCTTGTTTATCTTCAAGTCTTTAAAACCCCAGATGCTATATCTTTTGATAGCCAGGCACCATTGCAGCTGGACAATTTGGTTTCCTCTTTTTAAATCCCATGTGATAGCTTCATCAATATGGGAATTGATGGCCGACTCACTGCCAGGCGCCTCTCCCGTGGGTCTGGCCTGGACCAGGTCTAGAGGGTGGGAGTTAACTTGATGGTACACCCCGTGAGTTGAGTTAGGGAAATGTGGGGGACAGTGACTCCTTACTCCTCCTGAGGGTGCCTTCCAAGTGAAGGTGCCCATTTCTGTGCTCTCCTGGTCTTTCTTCCTCGTTACACACTTCATCCTGGCGCCGGTAAAGGTGGCGAGTGGTTTGGGGGTGATCTGTCTGATCGGTACATTTAGAAATTGGCCTTGTGCTTTCTCAGCTAAACCCAGTTTTCTCTTTGGGGAGCATACTGTCTTCTGGGAGCTGAAGTTCTCCTCCACTCCTCTTGCTCTCCAGCTGAGCAGGCTGGCCCTGCCCACTGTGTGCCCATGGGCTGTAAGTCTGCCTGGTTCTGGGGCTTGAGGTAGTAAGCCCAAGTGATTTTTATATTAAGCCAAATTCTTCTCTCCCTCCCCCAATTGATTTTTTTCTACATGAAAATAAGAAACACACACACACACACACCCCACCCCCGGGCTAGATGGTGCTGTACTGCCTTTCGGGGGAAAGCCCTCAGTTAAGGGACCCACGTCCATCACCGTGTCCCCACTCACGTCTCCTCTCTTCTTCAGTATGGGCATCTCTTTGTGGAAGCATTTCTGAAGCAGTGTATGCCACTCCTGGACTTCAGCTTCAGAAAACACCGGGTAAGATCCGAGGCCCAGAGAGCTAGGGCCTGCTCTGTACTGCTGCCCGCCGTGGAGCTGGCTCCGTGTGAATCTTGGGCTGAGCAGGTCCCCTTGCGCCAGGTTCTAGTCCTCAGTTCTACTTGGGCACACTGGTCTGTGCCACCTGTAACCCTAGATGCCCAGTGAGACTGGATGGACTCGCACCCCCTCTGGTTCAGTCCTCCTGCCTACACCTAGTCTAGACCTGCGTGGGATCGAGCTCAGTTTGGGTAGGTGGGTGCACACCTATGCCTTATGGATCACGGTGTCATTGGATTTTCTTTTGTGCTTCTCCCCGGGCCTGCACCCCCAGTCACTGAAAACAAAAACAAGCTCATTTGCCTCATAAAACTCATTGCTGTTACAATGGAAAGTTGCAAGAGGGTTTTTTTGGTTTTTTATTTTTAAGTCAAGTGGGACCCAGAACGAGAGTAGTGAAATGGGGAGGTGGGGGCAGGGATGATCATTTCGTACACCGTTGGCAAGCTGACCTGCAGTGGTGCACACTCTCATCAGCGTGGCTGGCTCCTGGGAACTCTGAGGGACAGGGAGCAGTGATGGATCCCACGGTTGTAGGCTGGGAAACCAAGGCATGGTCGCCTAACCACCGGTTGTATCACTCTCCCATTCATGTTTCCCCATGCCTCATGGGCAAGTGAGAGGGTTGGGACTGGCAGCTAGCCAGCGCTCCTCCTGTTTCAGACCAGATTAAGGTGATTACCAAGATCCCGCCTAGAGCTGACAGTGTCTCCCCTTGGGAGCCTGTAGCTTGTGGACACAGGGGATCTCACATCTAAAGTGTAACATGATCATTTCATGCAGCACAATGAATTTGGTTGTTGCAGGAAGATGTTCTGAGCTTACTGGAAACCTTCCAGTTGGACACGAGACTGCTCCATCACCTGTGTGGACATTCCAAGGTAAGGGAGCATGCAGGTAATACCTGCCCGGTGCTCCTGCTTGCTCCGTCCATAGTCCTCTGGTCTGATTCATCTGCGAGTACACTGAGAGCAGCGGCTTTCAACCTGTGGGTCAAGACCCTTTTGGGGGTCGAACGACCCTTTCACAGGGATCGCCGATTCATCACAGTAGCAAAATGACAGTGATGAAGTAGCAATGTAAATATTTTTTATGGTTGGGGGGGTCACCACCACATGAGGAACTGTGTGAAAGGGTCACAGCATGAGGAAGGTTGAGAACCAGAGTTAGAGCTTCTCAAGAACCTTCTTGAGCCTCTGTGTCTTCATAAAAGGCATGTACAGAGAATGGTCAGCCTTCAGTGGCTGCTCACGATGGGCATCTTCTAGAGGGGAGTTTGTGCATCCCAGTTGGATGCAAGCTCTGCAGCCCCGCCTCCCCTCGCAGCTCCTCTTTGCCAAGACACAGAATGCACGCGGTGCATGTACTGTGGTGCACAAGGGCTCCATGTGGGAGGGTGGTTATGTAAGTCATAACTGCGGGAGACAAGAGGCGGTTTTAAAAACTGCCGTCATTATGCTGTTGAGCTGTCCTGGTCAAGAAACACACCTGTCCTGTATGAGAACACCTGTGCGTTAACAGGCTGATCCAGAACTTCCCGTTTGTTTGTTGGAAACTAGCTCGGATGTCACCGAAGAATTGCAGTCAGTTTCTCGTTCACTTTCCCCCTTTGATTAGCCCTCAGATGAGGGTTTAGATCTGATAGGCTCTTAAGACTGTGGCTCACCTCCCTCCCCCTTATTCCTAGCCTTGTCTTCTCTTCAAAGTCTTTTCTTTGGGTGTGAAAACCATTCCCACCCCCGGCTCTGTAACAAAGGCATCATGAAGCCCCTCTCGATGAGACTGACTGACTTGGCTAAGCGCAATGCCCCCTCCAGTTTTGTCTGTCATCGGCTGCCTGGCGGCCTCATCTCATTTTTTGGGAACACACTCCATTCCATTAGTGAAGCCTGCTGACTTGTGGGTGAGATGCCCTTTGTCTGAAGGGGCACAGAGGAAGGCAGAGGAGCTAGCTCTGCCGTCCCTGACAAACCAAGGACTTCTGCCTCGTGCTCATCGCTCACTTCCTCCCCTAGTTCTCCGTTTAGAAGGTGCTGCACAGAATTTTAAGAACCCTTCTCAGCTAAATAGGGCAGCTGTGTTGCTTGGTAACAGCATAACTATGTTCAAGAATATTCTAGGTAAGTTCATTGGTCAATAAGAAGTTACAAAGTAGCAGTAGTTTGAGGTGTTGGTACTATGCCCAGGTCTTTGGAGTGCGTTAGCTTGAAGTACAGCTGCCCCCTCTTCAGAATACTCTGCCAGACCCTACAGTGTGATGGGGCGTATGTGTGGCAGGTTCGTGTGTTTACTGAATGCCAGGGTGTCGGGAATTGGAAAGTTTCTGTGCAGGAAGGGAGAAAGCATGATGCCGAGCCCTGGCGGGCACATCTGTTCCCACATAGATTCACCAGGACATGAGCCTCACCAAACACGTGCCTGTGCTCAAAAAGACGCTGGAGCTCTTGGTTTACAGAGTGGAGGCCATGCTCATCCTCAACAATTGCCGGGAAGCTTTCTGGCTGGGAAATCTCAAAAACCGGGACTTGCAGGTAAGCCTGGGGCTCCGCCAGAGAGCATGACCCACGGCCACCCCCAGTGGTTGTGCGGCGTTCGTGGTAGGGAAGTCTCAGCCCCGTGCCTTCAGTGAGGTGTTCGCCCACGGCTCCTTAGTCACCATGCATAGGGACCCTGGGCAAAGGCTGAACCTCTCCCCTCCACCCAGGCAGCGAAGGCTCCCACAGCATGCCACTGACTTAATCAAGGCTTCACAGCTCAGGACAGGCCTCTCACAATGCCCTACTGAGGGTGAAGTCAGAGTAGCATTTTTGTGTGTGAACACACGTTTTGTTTTGCCTCCCTAAACCAAGTCTAACTTATTCCTGAAATCGTTCTCCCAGTAAAGTCAGCAAATGAGCATTTCTAAGGTCTTTGAATTGCCTGACCTTGGGCTGAAATGTTAATAATGTTTTGGCGCTAGAGCATTTTCCCAAGGGCGTCCAAGCCCTTCTTGCTCATGATTACAGTCTGAGGGTTAGAAACTTTAGAAGTAGTAGCTCAGAGATTTAGCTTCCTTTCTACACATTGCTTTGTGAAGGAGATACAATTGTTTCCCGGAGGAAACTGAAGCAGCCCAGGGAGGCTAAGTAACTTACGGAAGGCAGAGCAGTCCTGCTCCAGAGTTGACGGGCTCGTAAAACCTCTCATTCCGTGTGGCCACCCAGGGTGGGTAGAGTAGTGCCCACATGCCTCGAGATCTCTTCAGGAATTTGAGAACCACAGTAAAAGAATCACTAATACAGTTTGACCTTGTTACGTCTAGTCTGAGGTAGTAGGATACAAAGATGGGCCTTTCTGAGAACTTTCAAATTCTGCTCAGCTGAGTCGGAGTCACGACATCACGGCAGAAGCCTGGGCCTGTCGGAACCCAGAGCCGCACGGCACTCCTCCAGATGCCGGCCAACTCGGTGTCCGCATGTGACTTCGTTGGAGAGGCTGGAACGTTTTCCTCTCCTTCCTACAGACTGAGCCACGCTCTGCCGGTCGTCCCCTCACTCTCACTTCTCTGCATTCCCTTTCCTCCCCCCCCACCCTTGGGGTCCCAGACATGACGCTACAGCTCACCATTCGCCTGGTCTGCATTTAGGGTGAAGAGATTTTATCCCAGAATACCCAGGAGAGCACCGCGGACGAGAGCGAAGGGGACACCGCGTCCCAGGCCTCCAAGAGCAGAGCTAAGGAGGTAGGCTGCCCAGGGCAGTGCTGGGGCCTTGCTGGCCGCATGTGTTCACGATTCTTCGTTGGCAGAGAGGACCGGACAGGCCCTGATTTTGCTGATAATCAAACACTCCTACGCCACCTCCATTCCCACACACGTACACTCACAAAAGATGGTGTGCTTTTATAAAACCTGTGCGGCCCAGGACAAGCAGCCACACAGGTTTAGGATCAAGTATCTCAAGTTTTGAAACAGAGTTGAAAGCTCCCTTCACCTATAGACAGTTTCTCTCGTTTCTATCTGAGATCATTTTAAAGGGTTGAAAAGGAGTCAAATTGTGTTGAGACCAATGAAGCTAGCCATTTAAACTGTCCAGACATAGCAGAGAGAAATGCTTTGATCAGAGTACAAAATCGCTACCACTAAAGGATAGTAGAGCACGGACTCCTTGCTATTTCTGCAGTACGGATGCTTTTGAGAGTTTAACCACAAAGCTTTAAATAAAAAAAAAGACACTTGTAAAATTTGCTACAATATGGGTGCACTTACAGACCCCAAGGACCACAAGCAAGATCCCTTGCTATGGAGCCTCTGTGTGCAGTTTGAGGCTGACAGAAGAAAAGGTGTATTTTATTACTTGGTCCCCTAAACGTACCTCCAACCTTATTTCCATAAAGGACTTAAGGCAGAAGACATCCCGCTTCCTACTCTGTCCTAAACCTCCCTGCTCAGAGCCACCGATGAGATGGCCCCTTGTTATCACACACTACCTTTTCATTGAACGAATGTTTCTTTCTGTGTTGAAGTCCGACTTTATTCCCTGGTCAAGTACGTGCAGTAAGCTGGAGGACCGTGGCTTGCTGAAAAGCCAGGCCCAGTTGGTTTCGTTGCAGGACAGTGAATCGAGTGAATCAAGCAGTAGCTTGGTCTCCCGCCATGGTCTTGGGTGAGGAGCCATGATGTCGGGGACGGGGAGCCTCTGGTTCGTTCTACAAACAAACTGTTTCAACCTGTTATTGGCAATTAACCCATTTGTATGTCCGACGGGAGCCAGTCCCCTCTAACGATGACCTCAGTGTTTCACCTCATTGTCCTTTGCCCCTAGGAAGAAGCAGAAGCAGCAAGTGATGAAGGAAAAGAGCAAGAGAGCGATGAGAGTGAGGACGAGTCTGACTAGACCTGAGATCCACTGCCAGCTCTGCCCCATTGCTGCCCGCAGGGCTCGATGTCAGCTCGCTTCCGCGGTCACCCCGCGGAATCCTCCGAGAAGGGGCCGTGCTGCATCCTGAGAACTGAGGAGGATTTCACCAGACTCGGGATTCTGCTGTGGCATAGCCACGACTTTGCAGTTTGGGCGCGTGTGCCAGTGCTGTGCTCAGAGTACAAATCCCGCTCAGCCGAGTCTGAGCCCCGTCACTCACGACGGATGAGCTAGTTTCAAAACCCTCTGATCTATTCTGGAATTGAAGTTCCTACCAGTTTGACAAATAAATTCCCTGCCTGCTCTGCCTCTGGTATCTCCCTCCTCTTACTGGAGTCCCTTCATTACCCAGGGGTTCAGGGGCTTGAACTGGAGTTTGTGCAAGAGGAGGAGTAGGGGTGTGAAAGCATCACTTTTACATCCCCAAAGTGTGTGCCCCTACAGGAGGGCCATCTTTGAAATGAGAGGGTCGCTATGACTGACTGGTAGGAGAGCCTTGAGTTGGTCTTGTCAATTCCCAGGGAATGGCAACAAGGAATATTCCGGCTGCGTGACTTTTGATTTTACCATCGTGTGATGGCAGACACAGGGAAGAGAGGCAGCATCAGACCGGGGTTGACTTTGTGTCTGTAAGCTTCCTGGTATTTCCACATTACGCTGAGTTATACCTGTGGTCTGTGTGAGAATGGTACCAAATGACTTGCAGTTTATTGGAAATAAAACCTCAGCACACTTCAGGTACGAGGAGGGGTGCATAGTATGCTGCCTTCCGCCAGAAAAGCCAGTTTCAATTTCCAGCTAAGCTGTACATTTTGCTAAAGGTTTGCTAATATTTCTGCCCTCTTCTGTTCTACCCACAGCACCAGAGTATAACTTGTTAGGCGTTTCTCTTTCTAGTAGAGGGAGGAAGTATTTGATTTTGATTTTTTTTTTAAACTATGTTGGGCTCACGTTGGGTTCCTGATCCCTTCCTCCATCCACTGACGCACAGAACTCCATCCATCCCCCTCCCATGCCCCCTTTTCTTGCCCAGCTGATGGTGGTCTTGGGTGTTTTCAGTGAAGTCACACGGGGCTCACTGGTTTCTGTGGTGGGTTTAATGGCTCTCTGCCACATGTACACAGCCATGCCGGTTTGACTCTCTGAAATGCTCGTTCAGCTCTACAAGGGAAGTGTTCTCCCTTGCTCTGTGTCACTGGCCCTTTTGGGAGGGAAAGCAGGGAAGGGGCTTGTGAGCTGTCACTGCTGGACGGCAAACCAAGATGGCTGGGCTGGTGTCCTGGTGTCCCTGTTGTGTCCACGTGGACGTTCTGTGAGGTGCAGACCTGGGAACTGAGTGGAGACCCTCTACTTGGAGTGTTGCAGGGCGAACGTGCATTTCTTATACGTCGCATATAACAGAAGGATGGAGCGCAGCATCTGTTTGCACATGGTCACTGTCATCTGAATCTGGGGCTCCTTCAGTCCAGTGGGCCACTGGTGCTCCCGGCTGATGATTTTGCAAAAGGCTGACTTGTCTGAGACTCTGAAGGTCCCAGTCCACTTGGGTGGCTGAGCCGTGACAACCCTGCCAAAGACTGAGTCCACTCCACTGAGGCGGACCGGCTGGGGCTTCCGGAGCAGCCCTCGTTTGCTGTTTGCGCTGCGGGGCTCTGAGGTGTGGCAAGGCAGCCTGGGACTCATTCCTGTCTCCATAAATGGGCTGTCTAGGACCAGCGTGACCTCTTGAAAGCACAGCTGCACTTCAAGGTCAGAAGGCGTGTGTGGGAAGCAAGGGGAGGCCCTAAAGGGGTGTTTGGAAGAAGGTGTAGGCGTCGTGTGTCGCAGCCATTGGAAGCTCTCGTCCAGTGGGGTCCACGGTGACCACAGCTGGTATCCTGCCATGAACGGTCAGTCCTAAAGGGGAGGAATCAGAACACATTTTCCCTGGTGTGGTCACGCTGAGGAGAGGCCCCGGCAGACTCACATCTTTCCCTCACTAATGACTTGCACTGGCGTTGAACTTCCCATGAACAGATTCTCAGAGGTGTCGGGGTACAGCGATTCTATAAAGGGGATGGTAGCTAGCATTGAATCTAGTCAGTTGAAACCTTACCGTACGTCTCTGAAGGTCTGCTTAAGCCAGGGGTTCTCAACCTTCCTAACCCCTGACCCTTTCATACAGTTCCTCATGTGGTGGTGACTCCCCCCCACACACACACACAACCATAACAGTATTTTCATTGCTACTTTGTCACTGTCATTTTGCTAATGTTATCAATCGGGCGACCCCTGTGAAAGGGCGTTCCACCCCCAAAGGGGTCTCAGCCCCCAGGTTGAGAACCGCTGGCTAAAGCGATTTTACAGAATACGAAGCGGACTTGTCTCCTACCATCTTCAGGAAGTTGGCAGTGTGGAAAACAGCGGCGAAAGAGAATCTACCCTGAGGTGGCAAAGGCCGCCGAGGCTTCGTGATGAGACTGGAAGAGCATGTGTTACCAAATATTGTTAACGCTGAAGCTCGGCACTTCTCCTCACCTCGGTGATTTCAAAGTGTGCCCGCTCATGGACTTGCAGAATGCAGGAATCCTGCTGCTGGAGCTCAGCGATCCAAGTCCACGCCAGCCCTCCAGGGTTCGAGACTCCCCGTTGAGGAATTCTACCTCTCTTAATTACACAGTAGTCTTTTCTTGTCCCTCAAAGCCTTGGGCTTTTCTCACAGCACAGCTGTCACTCAGAGCCCTAGCCCGCCGGGGCATGACTTCAAATTTTACCCCAGGCTGGGAGAAGAGAGTTTCCAAAAGCCCATCTTCGCAAAATTTTTAAGATTTTGGGGAGTTTTTCTACATGTTTTTTTTTTGCCGTCCCCCCATCTATAGGATACCCACCCATCGTGTAGTTAAGACCCAGATCTCTCCCCCCCCACCCATCCTTTTAAGATAACCCTTTAAGGATCACGATATTCCTAACTCAAAATTTTTGCAAAGAAAAAAATTTTTGCAAGTAGGCTCCAGATTTCCCATCATTATACTTCAAAATTGCCAGTGTTTCTCAGTTCAGTTAGCATTTCAAGCACCTATCTGTGTGTTAGGCGGCATTTTCTCTCCAGCCAATTGTCCCTTCTCTCTCCCCTCACAAAGGTACCTGCTGCGGCTCTCATTCAATCCCATCCAGTAATTATCTCCCCCGCCAGCCCGTGGTTTGTGATACTTGTTTTGTTTTGTTTTTCCTAAAGAACTACTGGTGACATTGCTTTCCGCCACCTAATTTGGTTTTTATTACATGTGCAGTCCCCAGGGTAGCTGTGGGTCCGAGTGAACTACACCGGATGGCAGTTTAATTGTAAGCATCCCCTTTGCACGTTCGAAGAGTTCAAAGATCTGGGTTGCCTCAGAACGAGAAACACCCACCCCCAAAGGGCAGCCTAGGTTGTTAGATACTTGATTCCATGACCCCTAAGGACATGTATTCAGTATCAGCTATACCACCATGTGAGCAGGGGCCTCTGTCCAAATAAAACAGTGCCAGGATCCGGAATCCTTTCTCACGAGAAAGGAAAAGGTGAACCAGGCTCCTGACCCCCAGCCTCTCCATCACTGCATAGAGGTCATGGAAATGAGTCCTGACTCACCCCCTCCATCACCACCACCACCTGGAAGGTGCTGGACCTGAGAAGTCAGGTTCTCCTGGGCCAACAGGCTTCCTCTTCCGAGGGCGGGTTACATGCAACCCCTGACATTCCCCACCTGGGAAAGAGGCCAGCGGCCAGGGGAGCTGGAGGCTGCCCCTCCCTCCCGGGGCGCGGAGTCCCTGTGCTAGGGCGAGGCGGTAGTGGGACCCGAGCCCGCCCCCACCCCACCGCCTGGTCCTGGGGGGCCTGGGGCTCACCTGTTGAACTCGGTGGGCTGCGCGCTCCAGTGGCGGCCGCTGTTCCCCAGCCGCTTCTCTTCTCCACTGGGTGCCTGGCAACCGCCTTTGTGACCCAGGGTCTCCTAGAAGCCCGAGCTGGTGGGGGTGGGGTATGGGGTACCCACCCCCGGAATGTAGGGGCCGGGCTGGGCTAGCTACTCACCTCATGAAAACCTGGTTTCCGGACAGTCTCCAGGGGGGTCGGCCAGTTCCACTCCGTACCTGTGTGCCTTCACCAGTATCGGCCTCTGCGTCCAGCCATCGCCCGTCCCCGCATCTGGAGCAGAGGACGGACACACGGACACACGGGGCTCGGGGGTCTGGAACCCACATGACCAGGTTGGGATCTTTAGATCCCTTGGCGAGGAAACCAAACGCTGAACACAAGGAGAGCTAAATTCTTGACTGCGAGTTAAGAAAGGACCCTCCTGTTCCATCTTCCCCTTACAGAGGGGTAGAGGAGGAGGTCTCTCCAGTTCCCTCCCCATTCCCTCTGCCAGCTGTCAGTATGGCACCTGTGGTGATGCCGTAGAGGACACGAACCAGGGACCCACTGGCCCTCCTGTCTTCATCCAGCACATTTCGTTCGGGATGTACAACCGTACTAAGAGGAGCTCTCACTCAGACTGTGGGTGAAGCTGGTAGAAACGGAGCCCCAGAGACGGGCTTATGCAGAGATCTGTCTGGAAGTTCATCGTGAGGGACTCCCTGGAGGCCCACCATCAGGTGCCCACTGTGCTACATGTGCTACAAGGGATGCACTTGATTTGTCTTTTAATTATAAAACCCTCCCTTCAGTAAGTTTGTTTTTATCTTCCTCTTGAATGAAAACAACACCTATTATTTTTAAAGTAAACAGTAGTTTTTATTGGGTTTTTTTTCATGAAAATCTATGAGCAAAATTATGTGATTCAAGATTGTTGGTTATTAGGTTTAATTTTCTGGTCTCTGCATAAATATGAACTGACTGGAGTGCATGCTTTGAAAGTACCAGCCTCCACTTAGTGTTACTCCACAACCCTCCCTACAGTCCTGACCCAACAATGCCACCCTCCTGTTACACATGGGGAAACCAAAACTCACAGGATGAGATGACTCATCTGTGCTAGATTTGGGATTTGCAACTGAGAGGGCCTGCCTTTAAGTGAAAAGTAGCCTGTCTGACTTCTCTGTGACATGTGAGCCAAACACTGCATCATCGTTAGGAAGCAGGATCTCAAATAGGGAAGGCTACCTTGTTGCCAGCATCTACTTTGTTTTAGAAATCATTTACATGAACATGCGGAAAAGTTCAGACAGATTGGAATCAGCAGTTTATGCTCAACCACTTACATTTTCCTGTCTTTAGTAATTTCCAGGGTGGTAATAATTTCCACAGGGTTTGTGAGGACCTAGTGAAGTAATAGCATCGTGTAGATTAGAAAAATCTCTAATAAAAGAACTGTTAAAACTGGTTTATTTCTAGCTCCTGTTAAATGTCATTTGAGGTTGCAGTCACTTTTTTTATACAAGGCATGTCCTGTACAAACCTGATTGTAAATCTTTCTTCAAACCAAATAAAATTATTGATAATGCTAAGCAAATCAGATATTGACATTTTTAATGTATTCCTAGTGTTCTCAAGCAGACATATTTTTGAGTAGTTTCAGACAAGGGAAAAATCTGCATTTCCATTTTGTCTTCAATTGATCGTGTTTTCTGGTGGACAAGCTTGATGGTTTCAGTATTGCCATAATCAGTAGTTTAGCCATTCCCCAGTTGAATTTTTAAAAAAGATAATGCTACCAAGTTTTTGTATTTCTTTAAAATGTTTCTTAATTAAATGATTAGGTTAATAAATAAATAAAATGATTAGGTTAAAACATTTCAACAGCTTTTGCTATTGTAAGTATTCCCACTGGTCGTTGCAGCAGGCGCGGAAAGCGTTGCACGAAGACACACACCTTGTGTCTCTGCAGAAGCTCAGCTCCTGCTATTTACAGAAGTTGGAGCAAACGTGGCTACCAGGCCAAGCGCAAGGATAACAAGTGCCGAGGCTCAATGATGAAAAACCCCGGTACTGGTCGAATGAGACGCCTAAAAATTGTGTACCGCAGATTCAGGCACGCAATCCGTGAAGGAAAAACGCCAAAACCCAAGAGGGCAGCTGTGGTAGCATTCAGTTCCTCTTCAGGATGTCAGCAATTAGCTGTGCCATCAATGTTCTCATGTTAAAGATGGAAAAAGAAAAATATGCCTTCTGAAAGGAGTGCGCCAGACCAACTTACAGTGTGGCGTTATTTATAATTCTACCCATCTGATCGCAGCTTCATCACTGGATATCCCCCCCCCCCGCCGAATGTTTTAACTCGTGATAAAAGCGAGGTGAAACACCGCGTTGGGTTGTTGAAAGGGATTTTTAAAAAATGACTTGTGTTTAATGCTGTGTGCGTGTTCATGCTCAGAGTCTGCACATGCTGTTTGGAGCCGCTCCGGAGGGAGGCGGTGACCCGAGCCCACGCGCCCGGAACGAGCAGCCGGGCCGGCAACCGGGGGCGGACGGGGGTCGCTAGCGCGAGCGCACTCGGTTCTCGCCGCCTGCGCTGGAGCATCTGTGTTCCGGGGCGTGGGAGACGCGCGAACACGCGGCGAGGGCGTGGCTGTGCGCAGGCGCGCCACGTGACCGTGACGGCGGGGGAGGGGCGCGCCCAGGGATGGGTGTGGGCCGGCGGCGCAGGCGCGCTGGAGGCCTGGCGGGGCGGGGCGCGTGCGCAGTCGCTCTCCCTTAAGCAGCCGCCATGGCGGGACAGGAGGATCCGGTGCAGCGGGAGATTCACCAGGACTGGGCGAACCGAGAGTACATTGAGGTCATCACCAGCAGCATCAAGAAAATCACGGACTTTCTCAACTCGTTCGGTCAGCGGGCGAGCAGGGGCGGCAGGGCGGAGGGAGGCCTCTAAGGCGGGGTGCCGAGGAGCCCCGAGGGGGCCTCTGCGGGGAGCTCCTTGTCGCTCGTTCGTCGCTTCCTCCTCCTCCTGGCCCACCTTCCTGCACCGCCCTGGCCCCGCGTTTCCCGGCCGGCGGCGCGGGCTGAGCCTGCCGTAAGCCGAGCTCCTCGGCCTCTGCGCCCGGGCACGAGCCCTCTTTCCCCGGGCAGCGCCGCCCGCCCGCCCGCCCGCCCTCGGGTCCGGTTTTCCCTCGCGAGCCGCCCGGGGCTCCGCGCCCCTCCAGCCCCCGCGGGACCCTCGGACGCGCGCCTCCCGAACGCGGCCCGGCCCTGCCACGGCCCTGGGCGCCCCGCCGCCGGGGCCTCTTGCGGAAGGAAGCAAGCGGGGCCCCCTTTAGCTCGCTGCCCGTGTTTCCCTGCGCAGCGCCCAGCCGCTGCGTGCCCATGCCCGTGGGCACGGCCGCCCGCATCCGGAGGTTAAGTCCAAGTCCATTCTTGGCAGTCTCTGTATGACTAGCATCGAGCAAGTGTCCTGTGCCTCCCAACGAACGGAGGGACACAGGGTTCCTTAAGCAAAGCGACAGTGTCCCCAAATCATTCCTAGCAGTGCGTCTCGCCTGTGACAGGCCGACGTTGCTTCCACAGACCTGGGTGTCCCGCCCGGGAGCAGGCCCGGCAGAGACCTAGCAATTCCCTAAGTTATGGGGGCGGCGTCTAGTTTTTCTTTCATATATTTATTTTAAATCATACTTGTTTACATATTTAAAATATACAATATTATATATATAGTTTCTCCCCCCCCCCCACTCGTGTGCTTTGGCTCGGTTCCATGATTTCACCATTTCAGAATGAAGATTAAATAGGGAAAACTATTTAATTAAGGTAATGAAAATGAAAGTATAAAGATGTGTGTCAGTGAGACATATTCAGACACATTGCTCATTGCTCCAGAGTCTAGCAGGGGTCCTCAAACTTTTTAAACAGTTCACTGTCCCTCAGACCCGTTGGAGGGCCGGACTATAGTTTAAAAAAACCACTATGAACAAATTCCTGTGCACACTGCACACATCTTATTTTGAAGTAAAAAACAAAATGGGGCAAAAACACCCGGCGGGCCGGATAAATGTCCTTGGTGGGCCGCTAAGAGGGGTTTTAGGGAAGGAGCATGGTTTAGTGGGGCCAGTAAGTGGGTCTGAAGTCAGCAGACCAGGTTCAAAGGTCTTAGACAAAGTGGTTCAAAGGAGCTGGGAGCATTTCAGAAATCCTGACCTATTTGCTTTGCTGCCTTTTAAAAGCTCTGTACAGACTTTGAGTATCCAATCTCTCTCTACTGGTTTCTTTTCCCTGCGTGCTTAGAGCTGAAGTATTTGAGAGGTGGGGCACGGGGGCAAGAATGAAGTGCTTTGCAACTTGGCTTGCTCTGGAGAGACAGGGAATGTGAGACAAGCCACTGAGGCCGTTTTCACTGCGTTAAGAAACAAACTTAACAAACAAGTAGAGCTTGGATGTGTGCCCACTCAGACTATCATCCACATCCCTCACATTGGACCCAGCTAATGCAATAACTTCATTTCTGAGCAAAGAATTGTATGAATAAGCATTTGGTTCACTAAGTCTTGACATGAGTCTTCTTGGAATAAATATCACACCCACTGATAGTAGGCAAGACTTGGGGCTGACTGGAAATTGAAGGGTTTGGTTTTAGAATTTGCACTGGAGAAATTGCCCCCTTCTTTAATAGACAAGAAAATATTTGCTCCAAGATTTTTAAATGACAGGTGTATGAGTCACACTTTGTGATCAGACAGAGAAAATGACCCTTCTTGTTGTTTCCATCAAGCCCTAAACTGAGGAAACCAGATGCCCAAAATGTTACTTTGGTGCCAGGAACAGTGACCCTTCAGCCCAAGCCTTTGTCCTTCCCTAAAGTGATAATAATGTCCTAAGGTTTGGGAGTAATTTACAGGTTTGGGAAGACTTTTAAAAGTGAACCTAAAAAAAAAAAAAGTGAACCTAATTATTTTGAAGAAAAATTATCAGTAAGGGAAAACAATTGGGAAGCAAGATTAAAAATGAACGTAATTTGAGAAATTAAGTGTAGCTCAGGCAAGTCCCTGAAGAGTGACCCACGAGTTTAGGCAAAGACCGAGAAACTGGATGGACCCTAGGAGAGCTGGGAGTCCATGTCTTGTCATTGGAGGATTCTAGAGAGTGGTGTGTGAGATACACGTTCCCTCTGTCAGCCCTTGGCATCAGTTCTGATGTGACCCTTCTGTTGTGTGTATGGCAATGATTTGGTGGTGCAGCCTCCATAAGAGCTTATTGAGGGAGCTGTGGGCCTTTTAGAAAATGACAGCAATCTTGACCGTCCCCACCTTGACCGCAGAGACTCTGCAGAGGGGACAGCTTTCCTAAGATGCTAATAACTTCCTTCGTTTTTTCTTCTAAATTTTATTTTATTGTTTTTAGGTGAGAGTTTACACAGAAAATTACCTTCACACAAAATTATATTTACACTTGGAATTTTCGTACAGACATTTTAACAGCAATTTTTATACAATCTACATGGCATTAGCTTTTAGACAGTGTTGTCAACCTCCTAATTATTTTCATTGTTTCCATTAGTCTAGCTTTCCGGTGCTGCCTCATCTTCTCATCTTTGCTGTTGGTAAATGTTGACCTTCTGATCTTACATGGTTACTTTACTGCTTATTCTTCACTTCTTATAATAGGGAGGCCACACAACCTTTTGTGATGGACTTAGTTCGCCCTACATAATGGGCTCCAGATTCATCTGTTTCGTATTTCATGGCTTCGTTATTCGTATTCCATTGATGGGTATGTCTGCACCATCTTGGTTTCCCCATTCCTCCATCGATGGCGCCTCGGTGGTTTCCATCCTCTTTCCTGTGAGCTGTCATCGGCTGTGTGTATGTGACAAAGGATCTCTCTGCAGTTTTCTCTTTCAGGCTTGTCCGACTGAGTGAACTGCTGGAGGACACTGGTTCAGATGCAGCGACCTCGCCCTACCACTCCCTTCAGCACTTTGAACCTAGTGGATTTCCTTAAAACAGATCGGCACAGCTTTTGACTTTTATTTCCCTTGCTAAGTACACGCTCATTGCGTGAGATTCAGAATGTGCCGTAGTAAAGAGGAAAATAGAGGAAGTGGCTATATTAAAACCTCCGTTTCTGTACTTAGCCAACCGATAGAGCATGCCTGTTGTGACCCCTGACATGTCAGATGATGTGAGAAAGGAGTAAGAATCCACTGACACGGTTCCTATTCCTACGAAATCAAGACTCTTACTGGAGGCTAAGAATTGCTTGCAGCCAGCCATGGGAAAGGCCGCGGTCATGTTTTTAGTGAGTGGCAGGTTACGTGCAGCAAGAGGAAAGCTGGAGCCAGGTGGTGTGTGGAGACACCGTCACGCCCCTCGACAAGACCTGGGCTTGTCAGGTCCAGTCTGGTGACCGTGTGTACATGACCTCACTCTGCAGTGAGGTTTGCCAGCCCCGGTTTGAACGTAATGTGAGCTGAAGGACAGTCAAGGTTTCTGGAGGTGAACACATCTACTTGTCGACCGTGCTTGTGCAGGTGGGCCAGTAGCGAAGTGTTGTCCTTGGATTCTGTTGTGCTTCCTTACCAGACGGACGGATCTCTCACACCAGAAATCTGAGAGGGCCTTCTCGCCGCCCCCCCCACCCCCCATGTCCGCCTAACTCCGGTATGTTTCTTTTTATGGGAAATGACAGGCCGTTCATGCTCCTCCTGAAGAGCAAGGAGGGTGTGCTGCTGTGCTTCCCAAAACCCCAAAGGGCGAGACCCGCTCCTGTTGGACCTGCCTCCCAGGAGCGGCGGGGTGCTGAGGTGCTTGAGGTCTGCCTGGGTGCTAGCAGACGGGAGAGAATGAGGAAGGCTGCCCATCATCGCCCTATTCATCGGGATGGGAAGTAGCCCTGTGGCTGCCAGGGCCTGTGGAGGAGAGTGGGGAGGGGCTGCTAATGGTGACAGGGCTCATTTAGAATGACGACCATGTTCTAGAATCAGATTCTGGTGACAGTAGTGTGGCTGCTGATAGAGGCAGGTTGAGTAAGGTGTGGACACAAAATGAAAGTTAAGGCACAGGTTGGGTGTAGCAAGATTTGTCAAAAATGGATGCTGAATGTCATGCTTTTGCATGACAAGCGAGGAAGAGATGAAAGGGAAGGTTGTTAGCCAAGTGTTGTAATCATCGAGTGGGAGAGTGTGTTGGAGAGCAGATATTTAAAGGCTGACAAAGTGAAGGTTTTTGAGAACTGGCTGAAAAAACCTGTCGGGAGAGGTATTCGGAAACACTTAGCATGGCTAGATACCTTTTTCTCCTGGGGGTTGAGAATAGTCATCTTTTGGAAAAGTTTGCAGAGGAAAAGATGTTTCAGTGAAAAATCTAGGTTCCATTTTGAGTGACAGGAAAGAAGATTGGGAACATCCAGAGGAAAGGGCATTTGAGCTGTTTTTCCCAGATGGGGTGTGGGCCCCGTCGGTATTGGCTGTTCTCAAGCTCTCTGTTCCATGATGGCTGTGCAGATGCTGATGAGACGCCGTGCGCTCCCCACAGCAGTAGAACTGCAGGCATATCCCACGAGCTTGGGAGCGTGGGCACTTCCCCGTTGACCAGTTTCTGGTTTTCCTGGGCCTCTCCCTTTTCCTCTCAATTGAGATCGCTTTCTTCCTCTTGTCATTTCCTGCCTTGAAACGCTTCCTTTGCCTATTTGCAAATGGCTGTCCGCAGAGCCTTGATGTATTCTTTTTTTAAAAGTAACATTTTATTGGAGGCTCTTACAACATTCCATACATCGGGTATATCAAGCGTATTTATACACACATTGCCATCATCATTTTCTAAACATTTACTTTCTCTTTGAGCCCTTGGTATCAGCTCTTTCCCCTGATGTCTTCACTTTTTCTTGCTGCTGTAACAAACAACCTCAAATGTCGGAGCTTCACCCACGGACATTGCATAGCTAAGCATTCCACTTCACTGGGCTAAACTCAGGACCGCATCATCTCTGGGCCCTAGGGGAGGGTCTGCCGCTTGCCCTTGTTGGTAGCATTCTGTTCCTTGCTGTTGTGGATTGAAGGCTTGCTGGCTGTCAGCAGAGGCCAAGTCCCAGCTTCTCATGGTCATCTGCATCCCTCGGCTCACGGTGGCACCCTTCCTCCATCTTCAAAGGCAACAATGACCCGTTAAGTCTCTCTTAGGCTTTGAATCTTTCCTCTGTAGTCGACCCACTTCTCTAATGCAATTCCACTCTTAAGGACTCCTGTGACTCCATGGGCCCATCTGGATAATCTAGGATCACCTCCAGATCTCAGTTTCCAACCTTAATCACATGTGCACTGTCCCTTTTGCCAGGTGTACGTGGTCACAGGATCCTGAGTCTGGGGGACATTATCTGCTGATCCACTCTGAGCACTGCATCTCTGAAACACGTCCGACTCTTCTCTCCCTTCCCCTGTTTGTACCCTGCATGATGCGCCACTCCTCCTTTTTCAACTTAGTTACTGGGTGTGTGTGTCTGTGTTTGGAGTGACATTAATCCTAAACAGCAGCCTCCTTTTACCAGATATGTCGTGTCGTTCAAGACTCGCGACGCTAAATGAGAAGTTGACAGCCCTTGAACGGAGAATAGAGTACATTGAAGCTCGGGTGAGTAGGGTGGGTGAGGGCCTTCCTCAGTGAGACAAGGGCTGTCCCAGGGAGATGCACATTTCCACTTATTGCTGTTAAAACCCGGAAAGTGGATTGCACACAGGAAAATAGAGAAAGGGAGTCCTTTGCCTGCTTTTAGCCAGGTCCATGATTCCCCAAGCTGTGTGCTTTTCTCCCCCTGCCTGCCCTCTCCCTGCTGGGATCTAAAATGAGATCCTTTTAAGTGATCTTTGGAGCAGGAGACAAATGGGACTTTGTGTTCCTGTGAAGAGTTCCTCTCGGAAACCCGCGGGGACAGTGCTGCCCTGTGCTGTAGTGTCTCTGAGTTGGCACTGACTGGAGGCGTCGTGGTTGTGTGTTGGGCTACCAACCACAAGGCCAGCAGTGTGAAATCACCAGCCACTCCAAGGGAGAAGGCCAGACTTTCTACCCCTGTAAAGAGTGGCCGTCTGGGGAACCCACGCGAGTCGGCGTCCACTCGTGGCAGTGAGCTTGGTTTGTGATTGGAGGCCTTTGAAGGGAACCCTGGTGTTTACGTGTTGGATTGCTAACAGCAAGGTTTTCTTCGGGGGGATGAGATCTTGGCGGGGAGAGGGGTGTGCGGGGATGTGTTTGAGTTTATCTAAATGTCCATTTTCCTTTGACAGGTCACAAAAGGTGAGACTCTCACCTAGAGCTGTGCCGGGATGCTGCTGGGAAGTGGCTTGACAGACCCAGGCCCGCGCGGGAAGGCCCAGCAGCCGCCAGCGCCTTCTCTCCTGACAGAGCAGGGCTGGTTCTCGTTTTCCTCTTTTCAAAAGTGTGGCCTTTGAGCTCTGCCATGTACATCTGGGGGTCTGATGTGGCATGTGGGGAGGAGTCCAGGGGGACTCGGGGAGACATTAGACACTTGACCTTTTCAGCAACATTTTATAGAACTACTTTTCAATATCTGGAGGCACTCAGAGCCAACAGCCCGGGACTCTGTGTGTGGTCCTCCCACCTCTCCCTGCCAGCCATTCCTTAGAGCTCCTCCTGCCTCTGCGCTGTTTCTTCAGACGGTCTGTCTCAGGCACCCCTTTGGTAGGGAGTGGGACCTGTCCTGGCTGAGACACTCGTGCCCTGGCTAGGTGGCTGCCAGGGAGTGCTGTTGCTAACACACTCGATTTTTGTCTTTTGGGGGAGATGAAGGCCAGGCCCCCACTTTGCTTGGAGGGACATTTTCAGAGGCTTTTGTTTTGTTTTGTTTTGTTTTCCCCGTGTCACCTGGGATCTCTTTGCCTCTCTTACTTCCTAATAAACTCCTCAACCTTCTCTGACTGCTGTGCGTGTGGTGGGGAGAAGAGCTGGAGATGGGCCTCCCTTCTCCGCGGAAATGGGACATGTGGGATGATTCTCAACATAAAACCTCCAGAGCTGGCCGTGGGGGTTGCAGCCTAGGTGGCCAACCAGCCCGAGCCCCCGTGTTTGCTTGTCCAGCCAACTCATCCTGGGAATCATTTGGTCATTCAGATATTTGCCAAGTGCTTACTGTGTAGGCACCTTAAACGTTAATAAAAGATAAAAATTGAAGCAGACATGATGCTTACAGTCTTTTGAAATTCCAGCATTCATACACTTCTACCACCACACAGGACACTCCATCAGTGCAAGCGAAATTGTCCACTTCTTCACAAAGCATATAGTTCAGCAGAGTTGAGAAGGTTTTCTGGCCTTCAGCGTTTACCGAAAACACAGCCAACTCAAGTCCCCAGGCGGCTTCCGGATACAGAAACCCCCCTTGGACTCACACAGATGATGGCGCTTTGTACACGAGTCCCCCCCCCCCCCGACTCAGATTGTACCTGCCTCCCCAAGCTGCCTCAAGCCACCCCTTCCCTGGAATGTTCTGGATGGTCCTTTCCTGATTCAGTGCCCCCTGTTAGGAAGTGCTCTTTGGTTTCGTGTGTGCATCGTAGAGTAAGCAGACAGGCCTGGTCCTGTGCCGCCGTGTGTGTGTGTGTGTGTGTGTGTGTGTGTGTGTGTGTGTGTGTGTACGTGTGTGTACAGGCCTGGTCCTGTGCCGCCCGTGGGTGTCGTGAAGGCAGGTGGTGACTCCCAGCTGAGATGGAGGGTGGAGGTCAGTCTCCTGGTCGGTGCAAGTCTTTGGGGCCCTTGGAGTGTGCTTTAAATCGTGCCTTCATTTTAACCAGGAGTTTCCCAAAGGGGACGGGACACTGACGCCCTGCACTTTGAGCATTGCTGGGCCCCTCTTCTTCAGAGTCCTCTCGCTACCAGGAGCCCCTCTTCTCCAGAGTACCTTTCCCACCAGGAGCCCCTCTTCTCCAGAGTACCTCTCCCACCAGGAACCCCTCTCCAGAGTACTTTTAGTACCAGGAGCCCCTCTTCTCCAGAGTACTTTTACTACCCGGAGCCCCTCTCCAGAGTACCTCTCCCACCAGGAGCCCCTCTCCAGAGTACCTCTCCCACCAGGAGCCCCTCTCCAGAGTACCTCTCCCACCAGGAGCCCCTCTCCAGAGTACTTTTACTA